CTGGGTTCTTGTTAAGGAACTTAATTAAAGTTACCATAATAGGGATCTATAGTAAATAATAGGGTTTCCTTATTATGGTAACTTAAACCCTAAACCCTAAACCCTAAACCCTAAACCCTAAACCCTAAATCCCTTAACAAGAACTCAGATAGGGGTTCTCATCTGGGGCCTTTGGATGCAGGGTTTCGGTTTTAGGGGCCTTCATGATTCGAACAGGGTTATCGGTTTAGGGTTTAGGGTTTAGGGTTTAGGGTTTAGGGTTTAGGGTTTAGGGTTTAGGGTTTAGGGTTTAGGGCCTAGGGTTTGGGTTTGGGGGTATGTCATTATAGTATACATCTGTTGGGGAGCATACACGTGCCCGAGGCTTTGCCGTGGAAGAGCGAGGGTCGCGGAGTGTTAAGCTGGCCTAAAGCCCAAAACCTGCAACACCCGAATCCTACATAAACTCTAAAGGTTTAGGGTTTAGGGTTTAGGCTTTAGGCATTTAGGGTTAAGGGTTTAGGCTTTCGGGTTTAGGGTTACGGTTTAGGGCTTAGCCTGCAACCAGGGGGCTCACGACAAGCACCGATGCTTGGTGACCTCGAGCCGGGGCAGCCTTGCTAGAATCGGTCGTTGCCACCTGGACTTCAGGGTTTAGGATTTAGGGGTTTGAGGGTTTTTGGGGGGTTTAGGGTTCAGGGGTTTAGGGTTAAAGTTTTCGGGTCAACGAGCACTATAGAAGCGACGTGTCTACACCAAAGTTCCACAGACGAATCTTTCGAAGCGTTGCAGCAGAACTCAGAAAGCCGTCCTTCATCGTGGGGTACAGCTGCGCGGTGGCCGCGAGAACGGCGGAAGTTGTCCAGAATTGCAAGCTCGCTGTGATGATGCTGATTTGCGAGCCTTTGGCAGACTCCTGCTCTTCATGTGGGCTCTGGAAGAAGAAGAACACCACGGCGACGAGAATGGGGCCAGAACCGATCCCAACTGTATTTGCCACAAACTTGTGCAAGGAGTGGACGGGCCGGTCGGCGACTGGCGAAAGCTTTACGATGCAGCACTTCATGACCTGGGTTGTTCAGGGTTTAGGGTTCAGGGCTGCTTGCAAGCAGCTTGAAACAAAGTTACCAGCCCTACTCCCTAAACCCTAAACCCTAAACCCTAAACCCTAAACCCTAAAAGTTGTAAGGAAACCCACTGGTTTGCTACATGCCTAGTTTGGCCAAACCCTAAGCCCCAGACCCCAAACCCTAAGCCTTTGACCCTAAACCCTAACCGTACCCCGTTTAGGGTTTAGGGTTTAGGGAACCCTAAGCCTTTGACCCCAAACCCTAACCGTACCTAGCCCTACCTAAACCCTACCGAAACCCTCAAACGCAACGCAACAGGCCTGGTCATTCATTCCATGCCCAAAGCTCTGGAGGACCCGGGCAGCCATCAAGAAGTAGATCCAGCCTAAGGTTTGGAGGGTTAAGGGTTTCGGGTTCAGGGTTCAGGGTTCAGGGTTTAGGGTTTAGGGTTTAGGGTTTAAGGTTTAGGGTTTTAGGGAAATAAGATCCTCTGAAGCTCACGAACGGGAAATACCAAACATCCCAAAGGCCCCCCTAGCAGCTGTTGTCATCTGTATCGCTTCCATCCAATGCTACCTTCACGAAGCCCAAAGCGCCGAGGAGTTGGCAAGACAGGCCTCCCAACAGGAAATGCTTCACACCACCAGTCTGCCAGGCGTCTGAAAACATGCCCAAGATCTTCCAACAGACGGCGGTGCCAACAGCGCTTGCAGTCATGTAGACTCCGATGAAGAAGCCGGACATTGAAGTGGCGTGCGTGGCTCCCAGTTCCAGGCAAAGGGGGTACGCACACAGAATCCTCAAATCTGGAGGCTTCCCCGCACAAGTTTGCCCGGCTGATCGCAACTGTGCCTAATCCCTTCGCCTTAATATTAAACGGCCCCCCCAATAAAACTCGGAAAGTGTTTTTATTGTTGGGGGGCATTTCTCTACTACCACTTGTGAGCCGACGTGCTCTTGCTCCGGCTTTGGCTTTTGCTCCCGCGCTGGTTTTTGCTCTTGCTTCTGCTGCGTCTCTTGCTGTTGCTCCCGCTTTTGCTCCTGCCCTTGCTCTTACTCCTGCTTTTTGCTTTTGTTTTGCCCTTGCTGCTGCTTTTGCCCTAACTCCTGCCTTGCTTTTGCTTTGGCTCTTACTGTGCTCTACAGGTATTTGGAGCCTCGAAACCCTCCCCCTACTTCATAGGTTTTGCAGAGCAGGGCTGATTTCGGGGGGATTCGCACCATTGTGTTTTTGTTACTAGGGGGGTGTTTTTTTCAAAGGGGGAAGGGATTATACAGGTTTCTGTACAGTCCGAGCGACACCGAGCTGTAGTTGATGAATCCTTGCACACAAATCATCAAATTAACCTTGGCGGTTCGTGTTGGCGTAAGCTGCTCAACATCCTAAACCCAAACCCGTAACATGCAACCTTAAACCACGACCCTCAATAGGAGTTAGGATTGGGGCAGCCCTTTTGGACAGCGACCCTCTCAATAAGGTCCAGGGGTTTCCCTAATACTACCTAGGATTTAACCCTCAGCCCTGAACCCGAAACACTCAATCCTAAACTGGCCTAAACCCCTGAACCCTCAACCCGAAACCCTCAAGCCTGAACCCGAAGCTTCAAACCCTGAAGGCCCGATATGCTCCTAAGGCCCGCGAGCCGGGGGGGATTCTGAACCCTCCAGCAAAAACTCAGGAGCTGGCAGAGAGGGCGAAGCTCGCAGGGCACGCCCGGTCGCGCCACTTAGAGGCCAGTGCGATGAGCCCGATCACCACTGCAACCCCGAAGACCGTGAAGATAGGGGCGGCCGGAAGCACAGACGGTTTGTGAGATGGCTTCAGATGGTCCCCCTGCTGGTGATGAGCGGCGAATCCAGGGGAGACCGTAAAAGCGTGAGTGGACGGTGTCCAAGCCTCTCGGGATATGAACCCCAAAGACTCCTCTCGCAAGACAGAGGCGCACATGCACCGTCTCTCTCTCTCTCTCTCTCGCTCTGACTCTCACTAGCTCTCTGCAACACAGTAATGTTGGGGCCTTACTAGTTAGAATAGGGCTTTGGGGGCCCATTATACTACAATTATACTAATAAGGAACCCCCAGAATAATATAGGTAACTATCCCAAACCCCAAACCCTAAACCCTAGTCAAGGCCCCTATGTTAGAGTTTTGTTATGCCGGGCCTGCCGTCCCGGAGCATCTGAATCTTGAGCGAGAAGGGTGAGCAACGGAGCCACGAAGAAGGGTGGCTTCATGGCAAGAGTACTGTAGTCTCATGTAGGACAAAGTGAGTTCACTAAGCAGGTCTCGAGAAAATGCAGATGGAACATGTCGAACGTCTCACCAAAAAAACCCAACGCGAGCGTTACCCCACTTACGAGATTAAGTCGCCCAGGCCCCACATTCCGCCCCGGTCAATCAGATATCTGCTCCACGCCGCAAATATTGTCCACTTTAAGTTCCTTCTAGTCTTATTTATAAGAACTACAGCTATAAGTGAGAACAACAACGGGTTAACAAAACTAACACTAATTCACTAATTACAATGCTTAAACCCTAAACCCTAACAGAAGGGACTCTAAAAGAAGAACCCACATCTTTGTCCTCCAGCCCTATAAGGCTTCTATAAGGTACTTGGACTTTCTATAATGCTCCTATAACGGTAACTACCCACCTGAAAATGTCCTAGACTTCGTCCTCCATCACCGATGAAGTTCTGAGTCAGGTCCAAGCTGATCCACGGGCAGGAAGGGCACAGCGCCTTGCTTCAGGGATTGGTTTGCTGTACCCAAAGGCCCCATAGTAGTTCCTTTTTGTTGTTTGTATTTAGGATCCTATGAGGCAATCCCAAAAAGGAACTACTATAGGGCCTATGGGTAGAGGCCGGAATAAGTACCCCCTAAACCCTACACCCTAAACCGATGTTATCTCTGGGGCCTCCTTTTTACCGCCCATATTGGACTTTCCGAGAATTTGGGTACCTTATTTTGGGGTCCTTATAATAAGGATCCTATTAGTTAGGGTGCTACATTAGGGTCCCCTATTTTCGGAAACTCCCATATTGGGCTTCAGGCATTTTTCGGAGCCGTACAGGAAGCCTTGTGGGTCTTCAGAACGTGAGGTTTTGAAGCGTGAAGACTTCGAGGGTCTAGGGTTTAGGGTTTATTAAGAAGCCTTGTATGGGATATTCCTATCCAAGCTTTTGTTTGTGTGCAAGTGGGTCCCAGATTTCCCATTCCACCGACCTTTTATGCTGGGCGGCAGAAGCAACTCAGCACACTGTCGCGGCCTGCATCTACCGCCTATGGATGGCAACAGGGGTTGTGATGAATTCAGACTTCTATGGTTTAGGGTTCAGAGTATTTAGGATTGTGTGTGCCTAGGCAACGGCTTGCAACCTGTTGTATCCCAGAACATATACATGCACCCTGGTGGCAACCCTAATGAAGCACCTCGATAGCACCCTTACAGAACCCCTGCCGCAATCTTGATAGAACCCTTAACTAATCCCTATAGCACCCTTGCACTGAATCACCCGTGGGAACCCATGACCTAAGCCGCAAGCATCCAAATCCAACCCTAAGCCATAAATACACCGGAAACTTTGCAACTAAGCCGCTGTTTCTGGAACCCGATCAAATCCTCAGACCTTCAACCCTCAACCCTTAAACAATAAACCCTGTCTCTGAAACCCTCGATCCTAGACTCTTAATATCCACATTAGAAATGATAGAAACAAATTCTATGAGTCCTCGAATCTAAATTCTAATTCAAAAACACTATCCGGAGGGTACAGCACGGTACAGCTACCAAAGTAGTAGTAGAATCATTAGCTGAATGGTGCTTGAATCAAACCCGAGAGGCCCTACTATTTTGGGCACCATCATCTGACAGCAATTATGCTCTCAAAGGCGTGCAGCAGGCTGCAGTAAGCATCCAGTCCTTCGGAGCATGGATGTCGCGGGCTGCTTATTGAGGCTGCCTCAAGCAGCCCGCGGCAGTGCTTCTGCAAAAAAGGCCCATCCCCAGAAGCCCAACTACCTATAACGGTTTAGGGGTTTAGGGT